GCAAGTTCCTCTCTTTAATAGAGTGGCAATGATTAGACCACCCTATGTCTTGAGTCTCGCAGTCTGCATGTGAAGTTGGCTGGCTTCACACAGGGAGGAAGAGGCAGAGCAGAGTGATGGCTCCCTGAATTTGGGAGTGGTTGGAGGAACTGAGACTCTCTGCTTTCTGAAGATGTAAGAGACAAGAAAGACCAGGTATCCATCTGGGAAGCCATTTTCATGTATTTTAGAATCTTGATATATTGAGCAAGTTCAGTTCTTGTTTGCTGAGCTGCTTCTGTGCTGCTAAGTTTTCTTTCCAATTGGTGTTGGGTTGTATTGATTAAATTAAATGGTGGTGTGAGGAATTACCATATACAGCCTGAAATTCCACAGTCCAAAGTCATTTGAAGGAAAACACCCCTATGTTCCTCCACTATATATATGTGTGTGTGTGTATATATATATTTATATACGTATTTATATATGTGTGTGTGTATATATGTGTCTATATATGTGTATGTATTTCCCCTTAATATATCTCCTAATACTCCCTAACCACCCTCATCACTTCCATCTGGTCATCCTCTATCTTCTTACAATATTTTTTTCTTTACACCACTAACCAGCACCTGTCCTTGCATTATGTATTTGCTTATTTTCTACTTGCTCTGGACTGAAAGCTCCATGAAGGCAAGATGGCAATCTTACTTACTCCTATAACCCTCAAGTGGGAAAACCATGCCTAGCCATATAGTGGATACTGGTATTATTTTCCAGGGCTGCTGTGACAAATACCATATATGGGTGGCTGAGAACAGTAGAAATTTATTCTCTCACAGTTTCAGTGTCCAGAAATCCCAAATGAAGGGGTCAGCAGGGTTGGTTCCCCTGAGGGTTATAAAGGAGAAATTGTCTTTCAAGACTCTTTCTTGGCTTCTGGTGATGGGCAGGGATCCTTGGCGTTTCTTGGCTGTAGAGAGCCATTTCAAACATCTCCCTCTTCGTATCACCATCTTGGTGACTCTGTCCTTTACTGTCTCCTATAAAGACATTCTGGATATAGGGTCCAACCTATTCCAATCTCTTCTTAACTAATATCTGCAGAGACTTTCCAAACAAAGAGGTACCATCTCTGGTCTGATTGACATTAATTTTAGAAAGGGGGCACTAAACCACACCAGTGCTCCTCATAAATGTTTCTGGGTGAATGAAAATTCAGAGTAATTCTAGGATAGAAACTCCTTGGACATTTTTATCATCGTCTTCTCAATAATGGCTATGAAGTTAGGGGTTAGTCTGTAATCCCAGATTTCTGGTTTTACTACTTTGTCGTTGTGATCTTGGGCAAGTTATTAATATTCAACCTCTGTAAGCATCAGTTTCCTCCTCTGTAATGTGATGAGAATAAGATTAGTAAGTGCCCAACAGGTGTTAGCTTTTCTTACGTGTCTGCGACTTTTAAAGCACAATATATATTTATTTAATCTGCTTAAGCACCTTATATATAAAGTTTGCTTATTACACTTCTATTTCACAACAAAGGAAACTAAGTTTGTTTCTAGAATTAAAAACTAAGAAAATTATGTATGTGTGCCTAGCACATAGTGCAGGCATCCTCAAACTACGGCCTGCCGGCCACATGCAGCCCACCTAGGACATTTATCCAGCCTGCTGGATGTTTTTGCCGCTGCTGCCTGTCCTTAGCAGCTTACTCATCCCAGGGTCTGCAGTCTGGCCCTCCAATGGTCTGAGGGACAGTGAACTGGCCCTCTGTTTAAAAAGTTTGAGGACCCCTGATAGTGCATAGAAAAGCTTACTGTAATACAGACATGTGACTCACCTCATAACTCATAGGCTAGAAGTGTTTTTTTGTAAAATTAAATTATTTTAAGGCACTTAATAGTTGAAATGCAAATATAACTCCCCCCCCCTTTTTTTTTGGCCGGGGCTGGGTTTGAACCTGCCACCTCCGGCATATGGAGCTGGTGCCCTATCCTTTTGAGCTACAGGCACCACCCAAATGTAACTTTTTTTTAAAGGAATATTCAAATAGGTCATTAAAGATAAATGTGAGCCCACTGGGTACTCAAATTAGTTTGACTAT